AAGAAGTGCCTGTCCGAAGGTTTAGGGCTTAATTAGGGTTTAGGGATTAAAGTTTAAATTCAGGGTTTAGTGTTAAGGTTTAGGGTTTAGGCCCCTTTGCAAAACCGACTAGCCGACAAATGTGCCCGCATATCCCCATCACTTCAGAACCACCACAATCCCAGCTGCTCCCATATTCTCGTCCATGCGCAGCAAGTTTCCGAAAGCCCACCCCTTTTTTTTAACAACGCCTGCACCCCAAAAATGATGATATTCCCTACTAGATGACAATACCATGTTGGCAATATTCACTATAGCGGGGGCCGCGGGTTTACTCTTTTGGGGAGGGGGATTGCATGCACAAGGATTTCCCTTCTGGGGCTTTGGGATTTGGAGTGTGTTTACGGTCTGGGGAACGTCTCCAAAGCTTGACGTCCTGTATGCTTGGTACCTGTGATATGGGCTCCGTTTTGTTAGAAAACAGCCTGCATCCCCTTGTAGAACCCCATATCCCCCTATGTAACGCGTTAAATCCCTGTATAACCCTACGCGCCCCTATAACCCCAAACCCTCTGTGACTAGTAAATGCAGGCGGTGACTCTTGTTGATCGGGGCGTTGGACTTCTCATGCATGGCTGGGCGTGTCGGGGGCCAACAAGACTTCCAGCTTGGTGACTTCTGTCCTGTTCTCAAACGATGTACCGGTGCTGGCGGGGGAGGGGGGATTAAAAAGCGTCGGCGCTTAGATCTATAGTCCCCCCTTTCTAGATAGAATATGGATTTGGGTATATTATAATAAGATCCCCATAATTATATCCCATATTCTATCTACTTGAAGGGGACTATAAATTATTCTGAAATCATCTCGGGCATCCAATCACTGAAGAGCCACGACATGCCTGAACATGAGTTCATACGGGGGTCTACATCGCGGTGGTTTAGGGTTCAAGGTTTAAGGTTTAGGGTTTTTTTGTGCTATACTCTAAGGAGGCTTCCGGGACATGTATGGTTTAGGGTTCATCAAATCATTGCCAATAATGGAAAATCACATAGAAACTGAAGTGCAAGCGGGGGGACACAGACGTGGTGTATGGGTTAGGATGTCGGGGCCAAAGTAACTAGCAAGATCATCTTCAAGTCTAGTTCAAGTCCCCTTTACCATATTGACTTGTACAAGGATTCTAGGACCATAATGCTGTTATTCATTTCGGCTTCTACATTACGCGCAAGGCAGAACGTACTTGAGATCGGAGACATCAGGCATCATGGTAGGCGAAGAACATCTTTGCAATCACAGGCCAGGGACCGACCCTTCCTAGCGGAAAACTTCACATGAACACACAGATTCAGTTCAGGGTGTCAGAACCATGGTAAGATTTCCCCCTACATGGGCCCAGTTGCTGGCATGATCCATCTTCAACACATCTTTCCCTTGAGAACCAGAAAGCACAAGCAGCAAGAAGAGCGACGTCAACATCACGCACACACACAAGACTTCTTCAAAGGCTCATAGCCCAATAAGATTGGGCTTGACAATTACGCCTTCCTCTGGTGGGACGGGGCAAGCTACGGTTAGCGTACAACTCAGGCAGCTGCACCAGACTGTACACGCTGCTCGGCCCGGCTTCTTCTCGTTGCGGTTCTCCGTTGAACTTGCCATGACACGGAACTCAGCAGTCTACCTGACTGCTACAGGACCGTGGGTACATTGGGGCATATTTGTGGAGGTCATACTGATGCGTGCAAACCAAAATCGAAAAACAACCCGCGTGAAAATGCACAAAGGCTACAAAACCATAAAAAACAAAAAACAAACATAAATGCAGCATGGAATGCCCGAACTACTTCCCCTCTTCTTCGAGGAAGGGGTCTTTGCAGGAGGACTTGTGCACAATCCACCACTTCCCATCCAACCTGGACTAGGATTTAGGGTTTGGGCTTAAGGCTGAAGAGTTCTCAGTGTACAAAAGACCTGTCTTCATAATATCCACATGGGGGGTAAACGTTTTATAAATGCCGAACCTAGATGACCGAGGAACTTGGCAACCGTAAGAAGGTCGGTCCACCTCAAGTCTTGAATTGAGGGTTTATCGGGTATGGGCCATTAGAACCCCAAAATTCTCTATCAGGTCCCTGATAAGGGCAGGGTAAGGGGCCTTTGAGGGCGAATAACCCATCCGGGTATAGGATGGTGTCAGATCTATTTCTCTCCCCATAATATTAATGCCCCCCCACCCCCCTAATATTGAATACTCCCAATATATTTTTGTAAACCGCAATCGGAAGTATGTAATATCAGGGGGTGGGGGGTTTAATATATTAGGGGGAGAAGATTATTTAAGTTCAAGGTTGTCTGCTTCTGTCGAGCGAGCGCTCGTCCCCAGAAAAGAAACGTCACTGACTTCCTTACGCGGCTATGAAGCTTTCAGGTGCCTCTGTACAGGACTCTTTTGTACCTTTGCAGGATCCCTTGCGAGTTTCTACATTCCGCGCTTCAAACTTTGAATTGCCAGCAAGCAGTGAGAACTTCGGATATGCGGGTCCTCACACATTCCCTGGAACCATCGCTTTTGCAACAGGCTTTGGGAGTTACCGCCTGGAAAGAGGCCCACACCCTTGGCATATTTAACCGAGAACCAGCAGCCCCAAAACGTCAAACACGAGCTTCTGAAGGACAATCGCTCTCTGAGCTGATTGTGTGCGATGCACCTATTCCTATTGTGTACTGTACCCAACCTCAGCCATCACGTGGTAGATGGGACATCCTCCATAACTGCGGATCTCCGCACGAATGCACGGGAGTCCCTGATGTTCTTGGCGAAGACGAGTCAGGACCGAATGTAAGCCCCTGACAGCCTCTTCATCACAAGCTGCTTGAGTTGCATACCTGCGTACAAAACCCTCCGGATCAGCAGTGAAGGAAGGAAAAGTTTCCTCCGTCGCTTCCATAACCTCACCACCTGTGGCTTCGGGCTGATCATGCGCTTCCTGGGATGCGAGCTCCACATCAGCACGCATTGCATCGGCGTCTGTGCTTATAATGTCTCTGTGCGGCCTGGAATCTGTAGCCGTGTGCGTATGAACCATTGCAATGCAAGTCTGGTGTAAATCGTCGCATGCTCTGTCAGGGAGTCATCACTGTCTCCCTCAGAAGCACAGCCATCCGCATGAGCATCGTCACGCCCAAGATCAACCAGAGTGACCAGAGTCAGATGTTCAGCTAACTTGATGGGAGCCGAGAATGAACACTAGAGCCCGAAAGTGAATCCACAGAGTGAAGCCGCGATACCTGTTTCTGTAATTTGAGTATGCACATGGCAGCCCACGAATGGCCTTCCACTTGAGCTGAGACCCGTTTCGGGCCTCCTAACCAAAATCTTGTAGCCATTTGAAACCATCCCTAACCCCAAAACCTGAAAAAGGCCCAAGTGATGCTAACCCCTCGTGCTTTCTTGCCTGAAGTGCCTCACATGAAGCTTATAAGGGTCAGAGTGCTGCATCCAGGCTGTTGGAGCCCCACAGTGCAATCCCGGTTTAGGGATACTCACCCAAAGGGTCCATTAAAGTAGGTATATGGGAACCCCTTTGGGCCTTAAGTATATACCATATACATGGACCCTTTGGGTCATACTACAAGGGCCAGGCCTAACATGGATCTCTTGATATTACGGGCTCCCAAGCCTTAGTGTCCTTGTCTTCTCCAAGGTTCTGTCTCAGCGCGTATTGGCTATTGCATCTACAGAGCCACAAAAAGATGTCATAAAACGGGAAACAGATTCGAAATACTAAAGCTCACGGTCACCTTAATTTTCATTGCCAGTACTGGCTCTAAATTTTGCTTCAGTATACCCACAACTGGGCGTTTCCAGAAACGAAGTTGAGGGACCCCTTATTATATATACAACCATGTCTAAGTATTACCTCCAACAGAACCCAGAGTTGGAAACCTGCAACTTTTCTTGTGAAGGACTGCCACTATGCCACACAGATCCTGCATGACTCGACATACCTGTTCGCAACCCTAGACCCCAACCAAAACCAAAAACCCAAAACCCTGAACTCTAAACCCTGGATCCTAAACCCTAAACCCATAACTCTAAACCCTAAACCCTAAATCCTGTAGGGTTTAAGGTTTAAGGTAAGGTAAACCCCAAGTCTTCTGAACAAATGTGGGCTGCTTATAGTTGCCAATTACTTGGAGGGTTATACGGGCCTAGTAAGTAGGTTAATTAGGATTTAAGGTTTTAGGTGTATAAAGGGGTTTAGGGGTTTAGGGTTTACGGGTTTGGGGTATGTGGACCTAGTAAGAAGGTTCACAATGGGGAAAAATGGGGTTATTGTATGGCTTATAGGGGTTATTATTAACCTACTTACGGAGTCCCATGATCCTCCAAGAAGTGCATGGCACCCAGTATTGAGGGTACTGTGCGGAAACTGGGACGCTCATCTCAAAATCTAGGCCTGGCCTATGAAATCTACTATGGCCGCCCTACTGAGACACAGACATATTCCGCTCCCCTGTTATTAAACCCCCCCCCCCCCCCACCCCCTGGTAGTAAACATTCCCATTGTGGTATACCATCGTACAATACATTGGGAATATTTACTCCTAGGAGAGTGGAGTGTTTTCATGTCCGGGGAGGGGGTTATGGACACACCAAGAATCTTTCCCATGGAACGCATTATCCACCCATGTGAACCATTGTCTAAACTCCTAGCTTTGCCCTTAATAACCACTACACTACTCTCCTATGTAACCCCCTTTAATTTATGGAGTTTAGACCCTAAATCTTAAACCCCATATAACCCCCCTTTAAGGCGTTCAGACCCTAAACCCTAAGCCCCATATAACCCCCCTTCAAGGCGTTTAGACTATACCTCATCTACATGGCACTTAGGAAACCACTCCGGGTTAGCCTTTAGGTACCTATAATGGGAATATAAGGGAACCCCACAGGGTCAAGGGTCTAAGGTCCAAGCTAAGTCCCAGGGAGTCATGTGAACCAATTGAACCCAGCTTCAGGCATGGCGGGTGCGCCACGGTGAGTACCTCCAGGGCCCTCAAAACCTCAAGCACGTTGCTTCACACCTATAAACCCTGAACCCTAAACCGCTAAAACCCTAATATCCTAGGGTTTATATACGTTTTGCGCCTGCAGCGTGGGGGATTAGAAACAAAAGGTAAAACGAAACGCCTTAACATCCAGAAGCCTAAGCCCTGAAACCTTCAAGCTTCGCATCTCATGGCCCCTGTCCCCTCAACGGTTTACGGTGTAGGCTCAAATCAATCTGAAAAACGTACCCCTGGGACCTCAATACCCAAACCCTGAAATCCTTTTCAGCCCCCGGAGCACCACCATGGCAACGGGGGCTGAAAGGCTTCCAAAATCAATGGCCAAAAGAGCGTCGCGGCTTCCAACGCCTTGATTTGCAGGGTCAAGGTGTAGAGCTTACACTAGGGGTAACGGTAACGCTGAATACATACCCGTCCCCCCTAAAAAATATGCAATTTCACAAGGAACCCTCTCAATTTTCAGATTCTGTTTAGGGGCTGCTAGATTGGAAAATCAATAGTGGCTCTTCTTTTTATCGTTCAGGGCTTGTAGGCCTATCTCAGCATTGTCGGGCCTCGTTGGGGCCGGCAAAGGCTTTTGGCAGATATCTATGCTTGCGAGCCGAGTTTTCAAGACTCTGCGAAAATTGTGTGGCCCCTCTCGAGGCCCCTTTCACTAGCACATGAAGATTCGGTGGGTAGATGCGGGTAACTTCATGCGTGGGAAAAAACTTTTCTACATTCAAGCTGAAGTCCAATATCTAAGCACTTAGTTTAGGCCATGCCCGTATGAGGATCATGTGCAGAATGTACCGGCAAGTACATGGCTCAGGCAGTGGTTAACTAAGGCTAACACTTCCATATTCCGATTCAGGGGACGCATTCTTTGTGGCTAATCCCCTGCCCCTAATATTTGAGCCCCCTGTCCCCCTGCTATTGAATCTTCACAGCAAAAAAAACGAAGCATCTTACATGCGCTCTGAGCATGTCACTATGTGCTTCACTTTTGGATGCCTTACAGCACGCATCACTGCCATAGTACCATGCGCTACGGTGGATACTGAAAATCCAGCATGACCCTAAGCACCTTCCACCTTAAGAAGGGATGTTTGTGCTCTAGTATCGTGGGAGTATGCTAGGTTTTTAGCATCAACGTCTCGTTGACGCTGCACGGGGCTTGGAAGGTAAGGATTGGACATATGGGGGATTCCAGAAATTAGGAGTCTTAAGTCCTAGTACGCCCAAACATCTGCAACTTCAAACAAAACCCTACCCCTCAAACCATAAACCCCTAGAACAGAAACCACTGAGCTGCTTTGTAACCTACATGGAAAGCGTTCTGCAGAAGCTGCAAGATGCGAGGGTCGCGCTGCAGGTGGGAATAATCCTTGTGCATCGCAGTCCTAAGGCTTGCCATATTCAGGGTGGTTTAGGGTTTAGGGGTTTAGGGGTTTAGGGTTTAGGGTTACCCACTTAATTCAGCTTAGAAAGTTTGCATGCTGGTAAATGTTGGGGGAAGTTGTCGATTCTCGAAACCCTAAACCTAAACCGTAAATCCTGAATCCTAAACCCTAAGTACATCCTAAACACTAGAAGGAAGAAAACAAGCGAACCATGCAAAGCTCCTCCCATTTCACAACCTGACAGGCAGGGAAATTATCTCAACACATTCTGCTTACTGTTCCATTCCGGCGTCGTGTAGCGAGTCTGAACCATTTTGCAGAAGGACTTGCTGTCGATGATCACTATGGCGCCTGAGGTCACTGGGCTTGAGACTCACGGGTCCAGGGGTCGCCCTTAATAAAGGGTTTAGGGTTTAGCTGGGTATAGTGTTTAAGGGTTTGGGGGTTTGGGCTTTAGGTAGCAAGCCCACTCCGAGGATACCTTGCAATTTGTGTGAGGAAAAACATGTAAAGCACAGAAGCAACAGAAGCTCCAAAGTCAGGGTGCCGGAATTTCCCTAAACCTAAACCCCTAAGGGTCCAAGGACCCAAAAAAAAGGGTTTTAGGGCCCAAATAGCATTAATATTATGGTCTTTGGGCCCTAATACCCTATTATTTGAGTCCTTGGACCCTTAGGGAACGAGATGCTAGACCCGAAGCCCACGCCACGAAGGCTGATTAAGCCGTGTCAGAGGCCTTCCCCATCGACAAAGGTGAGCCGGCAGGTGTCATGGAAGTACTTTGCCATTGCTTCGCCATCCTCGACACTGGAGACTTCCAATGGGGAACAGGGTTTAATGTTTAGGTGTTTGAAATTACCATCTGGAGCTTCGGGCTTAACATGCTTTGTTATGGCTTGTAAGCCAGGGCGTAGGCCGTTAGGTGTAGGATGTGAGCATTGGAGTTCAGGTCGCGGGGCTTAGGCTTCGGGCAAACCGGGCATTATCAAAGGATGAGCCTGCAAGGACAACATCGGCCGTCCATCAAGGACCCAACCCTCCATGGCAGGATCCTACGATGGTGGAAAGGCCATCAAGTCATGTCCGTATCTATGAACTCTCTGGGCCTTGCACATACTGATCCGAAGCTCAAGATACAACACAAATCGCCCAACACAGACTTGTTTGCGTTAAGCTTTTTTGTAAAAAAAGATGTTGAACCTGTCTTGTCGTTTCTACAAACCCTGTGTTCGAGACGTCCCCTTGAAGGTTCCCATTTTCTTTTTCAAGTTCATGAATGTTCTTGCCAGTTCCCCTGAAGAGAGAATCTGCGCCACAAACTGGAAAGACATGCCACATAACACATCTGAGCTATAGCCTAAACTCCTAGTATCTCCCTTAGTAAGCCCTATACTAGGAACCTTACAGAATCCCCTAAAAAACTCCCTTTAAGGAGCCCAGACTATACTGTAGCTCATCTGAAGCTGCACGCTGCTGAGTTGCACAAGCACGGTTGGCCTTGCAATAGCCTTGCCTCAGCATTTCTTCTGATATCTACCGACTGTGGGGCTAGGGAATGTCTAGGAGTGCGGGAGAAAAACTTTGGCGATCAGGGGCGCGGTCATTGTTCAAACAAATGGACACGCTTCCGGTGGCCGGCTTTCTGCAGGAGAAGTCCTTTTGGGTAGGTGTGAGCATTGGTACTTAACTCGTAGTGCGGGATCACTGGCCACTTGCATCGGAACATTTTCAACGACAAACGTAAAGTCGAGCATTTAAGCCGTGGACAGCCGACCCAGCAGATTTGAATTAAGGCTCAGCATATCATGCATTATATCTTCAGGTCAAGCTGGAAAGGGAAGGGCAACAAGCAAATTGGAGCCACATTAGAACGCAGACCTGAAGAGCTTCGTTCTGCTTGAAGAGAACTGAAGCTCCCACTGATGCACCCTCCACGAAATCAGGGGTCCCACATAGGCTACTGTCTGTTTGTGCCGGGGCTGTATGGGCTCGCAAGTTCATCCAGAGGACGGTAGGCAGCAGGGCGGTTGGGACAGCAGTGATTGCCTGGTGGCGTATCCACATTGATACTTGAGAAATGTTTTGTTGGTGGTCTCTTCAAAATTCGTCTACGTCCCGAAACAGTTTGCTGCAAGCAGGACCTGGTCGCTGACATCCTAGACTGAAAATCCAAGGACTTCAATCCGAGATCCCCGAACCCAAAAGCCGTTCACCCTAAATCCCTGAGTCCCTCAATCCTGAAACCCTACACCATGCCATACCCCAGGCTGGCATATGGATCGGGGTTTAGGGTTCAAGGACAAAGGGTTTCTTAGGGGGATGCAAGAGACCCTTTAGTACTATGAGTTCCGAGTTAAGCCTTTAGGATTTAGGCTTGAGGGTTTAGGCTTTAGGTGTTGCAAGAGACTTGAATGGGTTCCTAGTGATGATTATGCAGGATGGTTCTAACAAACTCCCCAACCAAAAGCACATGACCTTCGGAGAACAAAGAGATACTGTTCATGGAGTGGCTTTTGATCGTACACCCGACGAAGCTTGAAAGTCAAGTTACCCAGAGGGTCCATGCACCCAATGATTAGGTACCTGGGTTTCGGGTAATAGTGAATTTCGTATTGGTTTTGGGTAAGTATATGATTATTAGGTCCTTGGACCCTTAGGGTACAACAGGCAGATGAAGGATCACTTGGCATTGGGCCTTTCCACCTTACGGGTTCAGGGTCTAGTTTTCAGGGCGGTAATGTAAAGGGAAAGACACCCAAAATCAATGATTTTGTTTCCGGTTTCCATGAAGAAAGAAAGGTAAGCAAGAACTCTGTTCTCGAGGGCTTGGGGTTGAAATGACAAGGCGTCAGTGACCTTCTCCTGGATTTGCAATGCCTATTATGCAGTCATACTTGCAAGGTCGGCGGGACTTAAAGGTGGTACCCCTTTTCAGGGCCGATATGGGGGTTATACAGGGCCTATATGAGCTATGGTCCAGACTCCTAGTGTCCCCCATAACCCCCCTTTAAGGAGTTTAGACTATGGCTCATATAGGGTTTAGGGTGTAGGGACTAGGGTGTAGAAGTTGAACCACTTAGCGGGGGTTATCGCAGGGCCTAGAGGCCTATATTGCTTTGAGGCATGCTTACAACTCCCTGTAGCCGTGCTGGTAGTACTAAGGGCTGCAATCATGATAAAGGAGTGGAATAGAAAATGGAAGCTACCATGGGATCATGGTTTGAGGTGCTATCCTTATCAGGAAGCCTATTCAGAGCAAAACGATAGGAGATGCAACAGAATGGAAGCTAGTAGGAAAGGATTTACGGGAAAGAGATGAAGTACAAAGCGTTGGCTCATCAGCAGGGCGAATGGTGCTCTTTGGGTTTGTCATTGGTGGTTAGTGTGGAATGAAGGAAGCAAACAGAAACAAACCACTAGCATTGAGGATGATTTTGGGTCTACTAGAAGGAGCTGACCACGTTACTTCGGATTTGAGAAAATGGAACTTACAATCTTAAACGTGATCTTCAAAATGGAAAGAAGTGCCGTATGTTGGGTTTAGGGCTTAAGGTGGCTACTTATTATAGAGTGCAGGAAAAGGTTACAGGACCACTATGACATGGATGATGTTTGGACTTGTATGGGGATGCGTTCCTCCTTTGCTTGCCAGCCATCAGTGCAGTTTGGGATCTAAAGTTCAGAGTTCAGAGCTAACTACACCTGCGAGAACAATCCCTAGACCCTAAGTCCTAAACCCAAGTAGTGGGAAATCCTTCCAAGAACCAAGATGGCAGTAAGGCCTCATTCGTTTAAGCGCTGGAATCTCGCCCGTGCTGAATGACAATAGGAGCAACATAACTCTACACCCCTATACAAACCCGAAACCGCGTAGCGCAGGTAAAGCAAGGTCTGCAACATGTACAGTATTTTCTCTATCAACAAAAAGTGTGACCCAGCTGCCAAACGCAGTCACTGATGCCCGCAAAGTCCTGCCTTAGTTCACAGTGCTCTGCTCCACGCAAGTTAAAATGTGGATGGCTGGGTACGGCTTTCCGTGCTTTGAGAAAAAGAGTGCAGTAATTGTTGTGCAGAGTCGAGGATTTGCTGTGCGGCCCTGGAAAGTTGCAACCTCCTTGAAAGCTCCTGCGTAGCACATCGAGAATATGATGGGACACCCCTGCCTTCGAAGAAAGCGGGAGGAATCTTGTCTGGGCTGACATCCCCTCCCTTGCTCATAGCTACAGAACCTTAGCCCACATTACCCCAAGAAGAAAAAAAGGATCCTTTTTACATAAATATAAGGAATCCCATACCCCAAAGAGTGTCAAGCGCGTCCTTGTCTGTGGGTCACTCCCAGCGTTATTGCGTGAAGTGGCCGCTATACATGGAAGATGAATTAGACACAGTAGCCGTCAGGGAAGTCGGAAGGCAAGGGCCAGGGTTTGGCGTGGGGCAACTTCAAGGGATACTTTAGGCATCTAGCACCTGGTACAATAAGGTGACTGAGATACTGAGACACACGATTACCGGCAAGTAAAGTCGGCCTTGCACGCAGTGATGGCACTACATTGTTATAACCGTACAGGTTAAGTGTGAACAAATTCTGTCTTTCCACAGGAAGACATAGGGAATCTTTCAACAGGTCGAGGGTCCGAAGCCAGGTGTGTGTACAATCGGTTAATAAAGGATTTGGCAACAGCGATCTCTGAGAATAATTTGGGAGATGGTAATATGCCCTTTGGTTTGTAACGATACGTCGAGCCTCCATTGGAATTTGGATATTCTTACCTCCTTGGAGTTTGGTCAGGTTGACAGGACCAAGGGTTTGGCACACATGGGGGTTGGATTCAAGCTGATCAAGACCCTGGAGAAGCGGTTTGAGCTTACTCCTCTAGCCACAAGGGGCAGAGATGGTTCAGGTTCTTTAGTAGTTTCTTGTTTATCCCGTTCTTTACGCGAGGACTCCGCATGCTTGGTGATGTCCTGGAGCATGAGGGAACACAAGTAGGCTACATGGATTTTGTGCTGAACTTGTTTCTTGGTGTCTTGACCGCTTGTACCATATGAAGCCAGGTCCTTGTGGAGGGCTTGTTTGGCATCTTTGTCCCAGAGGTCTTCTTCTCCTGCAGCTTCTTCTGGTTCTCTATGGGCTTTCACCTTTTCCATGACAATGTCTCCATGATTCTTGTGCGATAGGAGGCAACCAATTTTTTCCTATAAATCTTGGTTGGGGTGAGATCGCCATTTGAATCCATCCCAACAGTGGTTTTGGATATGCCTGAACGTCGCCACGACGCTACTGTTGTCGCAATATGTGTGACATTGTTGGCTTGAGGCAATTGCCATGTAAACGGCGAAGGTTTCAGCCCTGCATATGTCATGAATATTCCCTGGGACGATCCCACTCAGCCCTGTTTGAAAATTGCCAAGGTATGTGCTTGAAAATACAAAAGCCCAAGAGGATCTACACACCTTCGGGAACCCGGGGAGGTTGGCAGAACCATCGGTGAAAATATACAGACGTCCACGAGGGAGGTCTGAAGGGTTGCAGGGGGTTGCAGGAGGAAGAACCTCCGAGCATGTGGGTATCCCAGTGAGTTTAGTGAGCATGGGGGCTTTTTGGCATATAGCAAATTCAGGATTAGGCCTGATGTGATCAAAGGACAAAGTAAGGACCACGCGCGCTTGTCCAGCATCTGTATTTCCGCAAAATTCGCATGTGTTCTGATCGCGATTTTGGCATCACTAACATTGATCCAGTAAAGGGCAGAGAAGAAAGTTGGCCCGATTCGACTTTGCCGTCCTCGACCCTAACTCAGCCGTCACACCAGTCTCAAACAAACCCAAGATCTGCACGGAGAAAACAACACAGTACGAGTGTAAGCTTAACCCTGAAGCTCCAGTTAAGTGATACGGGTAGACTTCAGTACCTCAAGTATTTAGGATTTAGGGTCTAAGGCTTATAGTTGTGTATAGTATTTCTAGGCTTGGCGCCCGAGGGTAAGTTCCGTTCCTATTCCCTGCGGCAGAAATTCACACACCAAATGAAGATGGCAACAGTAGGAAGCAAAAACAACATCGCGCAGAATAGCAGAATAGTAATGCGGAGTCTCTAAAATTACCCCTGTGCTATCCTTGTAGGAGACCCCCCAAACTCTTTGCAGAACGTATGTACTGTTGGGGCTATGATGGTTATACATCAGTCGAGACTCGCATCCGTCATTGCACCTGGTGCAGCTGCAGCTGCAGAAATACACTGCCAGGTGGAACCTACCTCCAGGGTACTTGGAAGGTCAGGGAAGTAGAGCACAAGCGACTTCACTGCAACAAACGGAACATGACATGGAAAGTTGGAAATAGACGAGTTTGAAAGGATTAGAGATTTGGGTTTGGGGTTCAGCGAATACTTGGCAAGTCAGGGGGACTTCCTAAGTAGTTCCATACTGGTCAGACTTTTCAGATTCCTACATGGTAGTTTCCCAAGGACACTAACAGACTACTATAATCCTTACAATGGGGATGCCCCAAAGAGAACCCCTAATTTTCGGACCCCCCCCACATGAACCTTCATGGCTGGAGCGGAACATCGCTTAGTGCTTGCATTCAATGATAAGGGGCTCCGAGGACCAAGAGTTCAGAGGTCCAGCGGCTTAGGGAAAGTCCTAGACCTCAAACCCTAAGCCGCTTCAGGGCATCTCAAACCAACAGGCCGGAAACCCGAAACCCCGAACCCTGAACCCTAAAAAACCATCTGAGCTATAGTTATAGTCTTAACTCCTAGTATCCCCCTTCAAAGGCCCTATAATGCTCCTCTATATAATCCCCTGTATAATCCCTTGAGAAGTTTAGACTATGGCTCATCTGTGTTAGGAGTGATTCGGCAACGCGCTATCGACCATACAGGATCCGTCGCCTAGACTTGAGCAGGCTAAGGTTTACAGAGCGCCACATGTTCTCAGTTCCCACCCTAAACCGCAAAACCCTAAACCCTAGACTAGTTTCCAAGGTAGAGGGGGGATCCTTGGTTGAGCAGACAGGTGTCGGTCCTGACTACTCGAAAACAAGTCTTCTTTCTAAAGAAAACATGAAGGAGACTCTCTGGTGTGTGGAGTGCTTTCAGCAACCATGGAGTGCTTTCGGTAACCATCAAGGAGTGGCGGGTAGTCTCGCACAAGGGAGGAGTTCACTCATGTGCGGGCACCCGCTACAAGCAACAATCTCCGTATTTTTCCTGAGGGAAGATGGTGAAGCAGCGGCAGGCTCACAGGAGGCGTTCAGTATCTGCATGTGTGACCACCAAAAGTAGGATTGCGCCCGAGCTCCGTGAAAGCAAATCACTGATTTCAAAAGCGCGGCTTCAGAACTCTAGGGCAGAACTCTACCATGCTAGCTTCCATTTCCCACTATGCTCCCCGCACACCACGTTGAAAGAGCCTTGTATCTCCTTGTGAGCCTATAACCCTTGTGCCGTGACATACTGTCACAACTAGCTTCGGGCCCGAACAATGCCTCACTTACGACATCTGCTATGATTACTGAACGGCTTTGAACTTATGGCTGTACTTTCATGGCATCCCCTAGTAGCCTTAATTCATCCTAATAGTCCTTTAGCCTACACCACCCTGACTAAGTAAGCTGAGTAAGTAAGTAAAAAGGATGCCTGGCGAGGGTAACGCGGTCGGGCGGGTGGGGGGGGGGTCGGGGGAGAAGCAACCCTGCACCGCATGATATGTTTGGGGGCTGTGGGGTGGGGTGTGTGGAAAGGCCATGGGAGCGCTATAGAAGTTTGCGGGGTAGTAGGGGAACCCATGATACTCCACCATTGAACTGTAGACTTCACGCCCCTGAAGACTGAGCGCCTTAAACGGAAACTCCGCTAACCCTGAAAAGCCCTGTGGGCGAAAGTACTGAAGTAGTTCCATTCCTATTCACTACACTATGAAAAAACATGTTTACATTCAGGAATATACCTGATCACAACCCTAATTATGAAAACGTATGGCCTTCAGAAAAACCAGCCACATTGAGGTCGTATCGCCAACCCGTGCATACACAGACGCGGAGGATTTGCCTGAAGCAGAACATGCCAGGAAACCCTGAAGGTTTTGATGGCTTGGGGAATAGCAAGATTTAGGGTTCAGATAGGTCTCGGGTCTGAGGGTTTTAGATGGGAATGGATGCATTTTCATCTTGTGAGCCTTCCTTCTAGTACATAGCTTTACCATAGCTGTTACTATGCTGGTACTCTTACTATTACTCACACTATTTCTACATGCGCGCTACTACCTTTCATCCTGTGATACGAGAGGCACGTCAAAACATGAAACAGGGCGGAATCTAGGAGCATAATCTTGGTACTGACTGTTGCTTCTTCGTTACGCAGAGTATCCCGTATCCGGTCATGCGGAATGGTCTTCATGCGGCTTGCCCTGAGCTTTTCACCCACTGCCTTTTTTGGACATGCTCCCCCAAATTCAAGCACCTTCTGCTGCCCTCAATACCACTCAGATGTTACCCCAAAAAATGACAATCGAAAAACTCTCCTAAAACGTGAATTTAAGCCCTCTGTCCCCAGCCTCCACTCAAAGACCGGAATTATGCGCCCGGAACCCTAATTTTCAGACATAACCGTTTGTCATAACTGCACAAAACCTCGACCTAAGCCCTAGACACTCAACATGGTTTTCTAAATTAATAAGCAAAAACTAGCAGGTAAGGGTGCACCCAAAACTACAGCATACACGCAACCTCTAAACTTGGAGGGTCAGGAGAATGCAGTAAGCAGGCGCATAGTTGGGATACCTGGGACGACTATAAGGTCTATGGCAAGGGGGGGTCATGAAGTACACCTTCTAAGTCCCGCACCTCCACAAGTCCAAAGTAAAAGCCTGGTTAGAGCCAAGTGGCTTCCTGCTTGCAGCACTCGAACCATCTCAACAACCGCCGCATCCGCTGACGAACCAGGTGCCAGCGAATACCTGCAAGTCATGGAATCCTATACCACTCCCCCCCTCAAAAAAAAGCAGACCCAGCAGCAGGCCAGATTAGTGTGAATTTAGCGATTATTTGGGGGAGGGAGGGGGGGGAGTTCGGGGAAGGAAGGGTGTACTTAGTAAAGCATAAAAGCCGTCAGGGACCCTAACTCAACACATGGAACGACAGCATGGAAGAATGACCTGACACGACTGCAGCATACAGAGAAAAAAAGGGGTTTGGGATTTAGTAATTTCCCAAATAAGGGGACCCCAATATAGACCCCAAAATACTATAGTCCTTAACTATGGGGACCCTAAAAAGGTACCCCGTTGGGAAACCCTGATCCCTATAATCACCTATATAAACACAGTTTCCATCTCATTTTCCATTTTCTATTTCATTTGATTCTCCATTATAGTAGGTACCCCTAATTTTGGGAAACTACCATTTAGGGGTTGAGGATTAGCTTCCAGCCTGCAGAGTACAGGATGCCTTGGAGCGTTTGCAAGTAGCCAACATAAAGCGAGGCTTGTTGGGGTCAGTGCCGAAACTGCATGACTTTGCTTCTAGGATGACCGCGCGTAATTATAGAGCTGAAGGTCTAGGGCTTAGATTTGGAAAATTTTAGTCTCTTGCAGCATGCGGATACATCCAGGGACTCAAGCATCACCATGATCTACAGCCGCAAGTTCCGCTTCACCTCTGAGAGATCTTCTCGCAATGCTTGCCGAAGGTAAGACTCGCGTACATGTGCCCAAGGTGGCATGTCCAACAACCACCAGGGGCAAACAAGATCCGACAATCGCATATACATTAGGAGGACCCCCACCCTGTAATAGTGGTATAATAGGAACATAAGAGGACCCTAATATAATCCCTATTATCCCTTATAGTCACTATTACTGGGTGGGGGGTCCACCTAACATATACAGCTCATCAATCATCACGGGCCCAAAAGGGTGAAGTTTTCTTGTTGGTTCAGCCCTGACTGGATGTTAGAAATAGGTAGCATAACAGCCCCAAACCCACAACCCGTTCAATTACATCTACTTTGGTGGTTTAGGTAAACATGGGGGTTTCCCAAAATTAGGGATACTTTTTTGGGGGGTCCCATTAAAATAAGGACTATAGCATTTTGGGGTCTATTTTGGGGCCCCCCCCCATGGTGGGACATTACCACATCTCCACCGCCAAATCCAAGCCAGGAGCTCAGTGCCCGCTATGCTACGATAGGAGCCATCTGCGCCCACGAGAAGCACGGAGCAGCCCTTGCCAGACTTCAGGGTCTGGGGGTGTCAGACCAAGGATTTTGTAGGGCTGATGAGGTTTCAGGCTTAAGACCAAGGACTGCTATAGGCACATATTCCCTCTCTACACCCCAGCAACTCGCTACGGATGGCTAACATCCTGCACCGTTTTTGACAGTTGCGATGAAGCCAAATAGCTGCTTACGTCTCCAAGTCGTGCCATTCAGCTATATGCATCAACAGCATCTGGTGTTTGGGCTTTTCCCTTGGCGACCTTGCTCTTACAAACTGCCATCGAATAGTAAGGAGGTTTGGGTTCTCATAACTCATATGGTAGTTTCCCAAAATAGGGGGACCCCAGTATAGACCCCCAAATACTCTAACCTTTATCATGAGGATCTCTAGAGTGGTAGCCCTAATTTTGTGAAACCGCCCATATGTTAGAATAAGACCGTCTACCCCAACATTGCATTCCGATTTAGGTCAATGTTTCTACAGTAATAGCCGCTAAAGTGAGGTAAACGAGGCTGAATATACCTGGAATAATCCTTTGTGGTACCCATTGCTGGGTGGGAGAATGACCCAACCCTGAATCCTCATTAAACCCGAAACCCTGTACCCGTTGCTGAGCGGGCGATTCGCCCGACCCAAAACCCTCAACCCTGTAGCCAATGCCGGGTGGGGGATCGACCCAAATCCCCACACAGTAAACAGCAACGCCTCATGCACTGACGGCGACGCAGTGCGTGGGTTGCACCACGCCTTGATGCAGTCCTTGAACTGGGTTTAAGGTTTACTGATTAGGGTTTGGAGTTTATAGGGTTTGCGGATTAGGGTTTTGGGTTTGGGGCTTATTATAGGGTTGAGGGATCAGGGTTTACGGATTAGGGCGTATAGGCTTTGGGTCTTATAGAGTTTAGGATTTAAAGGGTTGAGAGCAAAGGCTTTGGTTTTGGGGTGGGGTTGGGGTGGTAAAGTCGTCCACAGCATGCACGGATGCCTTTCCAAGCTGGGTCCTTGCAAGAAGTGGGCTACATCAGTAGGAGGGCCTTGCAGGGGACCTTTCTTCAAGAGCCCTAAACCTTAAACCCTGAACACGAAGCCCTAAACACGTTCCAGTCCCATGGGCAGCTCACAGGCTTTAGATCCATGTGTTGTACTTATTTGTTGCTAGCGACGAGGAAAATACTGTAGAGGAGAATCAGATGAAAATTCCATGGACAATCCAGGGCATAGGGATGGATGAGGGCATAATTAACAGAAGAGCACGGAATCTACTACGTTATTCTTGTTTTATTGGGGATATATAGGGTCCCAATCCTCCTTTGCCTACTAAGACTTGCATGCAACAAGTGCACAGACAATTTGCCCCCCCCCTCCCCCCCCGCCCCAGTCCAGTGCCCTTGGCAACGGGTATGTCTCACGAGGTTGGCATGTCTAAGCTTCGCAGGCCTACACCGTACGCCGGCCCCTAAATATCCGGACTGTGCAAATCACGTCTCAGCCTCTTAAGCCTACACCCTACACTGGCAAATCTAGGCCCCTAATTAACATCTGGCATCTTGAACCATGTGGTAATTTATAGGTGCCTAAATACGTATTTAGGCCGCTGAATTCTGCTTGTCAGGCTTCAAGGCCAGCCGATCGCAGAGCGGCTTCGTCGCTGGAATCCATTGCGACTTGAATGGGGCACTGCTGGTCTACACTACCCGTACTCGAAGGCAAACTCAAATGGTATTGTAATTGTAGCACAAGCTCTTAATGGCCCAATAACCTCACTGTAGACACTTGCAACTCCCCATAAACCTTCGAGTAAACACGAAAGCGATGAGGGTTGAGTCACTTTAGCGCTGAATAGTCAGCATGACTGGTCCAGGTACCTAGATCGATCTAGTGTCTCGGTGGTCCCCCGTATACTACAGCCCCTCTTGTGTCGGCTACCCCAAAGATTGGGGCAAGGCAAGGGTCTATCCTGGCCCCCCAAAAATTCCTCCTTTAGAGCCCCTGTTCGGTCCAATGGCTATACCCTAAGCCCTCCCATTTGTTACTGCCAGAACCAATCCACGGCCTAACCCCTGTAAAGCCCCATATTCTATCTACTTAAGGGGGACTATACCCTTAACCCTAAACCCAGTTTCCATGTCATTTTCATCTTCTTTTCCATTTGATTCTCCATCATTGGGGGATAATATTGGTATTTATTTGGGCCCCTAAACCCTAAGCCCTAAACCTTTAACAAGCCCTCATAATCATCCCTAACAAGGCTCCATGGCTCTAGGGATTTATAGGGCTTGTTGAAGCTGATTGAGGCTCATTAATATGGGGCGTGCAGATGTTGCGGCTTATGGGAGTCCCATGTTGTAAGTAAATAGAATATGGGTTTAAGGTTTGAGGGTTAGGGGTAAGGGGATATAGTCCCCTTAAGTAGATAGCATATGGGGTATATAGGGTTATCATAATCTACCCAAAGCCATATTCTATCTACTTAAGGGGGACTATAGTTGTAGCTATCCTAAGTGTCCAAGTACCTCCATGGCATATGCTTTAGCCCCAAAGCACCTGCATGCAGAGACTTTTTGGCCCAAAACAGACCGCACCTAGGCATGTGGGCCTTTTCCCACAATGGAAACTGCCCAAAGATCTTACTTGTGGCACATGTATGAAGACTCGGCGATTTTGCCATGTTCTTGCAACCAAGAGAGCTGAAGAACCGTCATCGACAAACGACCCGCCGTCGTGGTGCATGCCAGAACAAAACTTTCCCTCTCAATCCGCTTTGGCACATCAACACTAGACCTACCCTGACCTCCAAAACCTAGGTTTGATCACGATGGAGTTGCTTTGCAGCCTTTACTACCTTCCAAGTTGGGGGCCTTGAAACATGCTTTGATTGGAAGTCTGTATAGCCAATTTGTTCGACATCGCCATGACCAGTCTTGAGGAAACAAAAAGTTTGGCAACCCGTTCGCTTTCTTTGGTGGCTTACAGCATGGGTTTAAGGTTCAGGAATTTGGTGCCCTTTGAAAATTTGTGATGCCCTATTGACCGTGTCAACTGGGGAAGAGCAACACTCTGTATCACAGGCGTTATCTGGGTGGATTAGGGTGACCAACTGATCCGTGAAGTATACTACCTACACACTAAGACAACAATGCACCTGCAATTTCCAAACAAGTCCTCACTACTGTCGTTGCGCGCTGAGCTTTGGGAAGAACCCACTCTGCCGTGTGAGCAGCACGTGCCTCTTCAAGCCTCTCCGCACAACCTCATCTTCCGTTTGTCAAGCCCAGAGTTATGGGTTCAGTTTTTCACAATTCAGGGAGGCCTGCGGTTATCCCGAACCGCCAGGCACAATAAAGATCTGAAGGAGCTGGTTCCTGGGCTAAGGAATGGCCAAGACACTGCTAGCATTCGGAACCTTTATCCGCCGACCTTTGCGGCTGTGTTGACTGGTCTCAGAAGACGGAAGAACGAAAACCGTCTTCTTTTTCTCCCGTTACAGCCTAAAGCTGGAGGATGCCCCTCGTGGGTTGTGCTGGATGGGCACACAGCCGAGGTAGCCGTCTGAGCTGACTTACCTGGCCAACATGGACAGCGGCGGGGGTGTCTAGGGAGATACCTGTCCTGACAGCCATCTGACAGACCAGGTGAGCCTTCCGGCAAGGTTTAGGGAGTGTTGCAGCAACATCACACATCCTGGCTTGATTTGTTTTCTTGCTTGCGCCCGTTGGTCTCGTGCCCAACCCCTGAAACCGTAGGCGGCAAAATAGTATTTCGCACATGTCGCATCATCATTAGTCTGACCGCAGTGCCGCTACTGCAATAACGATTGGCTGCCCCCCACCGAGGTCCTCGACAGAGGAGAGCCCGACTGCCTCTGGGGTCGGCGGCTTGAGCTGGAGGCTTTTTAAAGTCGGGCAACGCTCATGTGTGCTCGCTCCAGCAATGTAGACATAGCTTTGCAGTGGCGTGCATGCGCCGCCGACCCTGCATCATCGGACCCCAGTTTCTCAAAGGGCCTCCCCCGGACGCCACCACCAAAGCAGATTGAAATCAGTATGCGCTACGGAGGATTCCCCCCAGGCCACGAAAGGATTTTGCAGGATTTGGGGTCCCAAATGAATCTCCGAAAACCATCAAGAGCATAGCAAGAGCATCACGTTACAGAGGCTTCTCATGATCTGGAGCATCATCAATACAATTAGGATTCCGTTTTGGGTTCATAAGGGGGAAGGGCAGGGCAGCCTGTGCTGCCGGGCCCGACATATAATCCTGGGTAGATGGACGCAGTGATCAACAGGTCTTGAATGTTCTGGCTTCGGCCATGTGGAGCAACGAGCAATAACAATGAATATGTGGGGGCCGGAAGCTTGGACCAGGCCCTCTTGCATGGGAGGGATTTGGGCCAGTTCATGCTTTACGGCTAGTTGAGGGATAGCTGAGCCCTAGACCCTGAACCCTAGGCTGAACATGACCCCTCGAGAGTCACATTCAGCATCACAGCTCACAAAAGAAGTTTGGTTCTTCCCTACACAGCGTCAAATAAGGATTTGGGACGCTGAAATGCCCGACACATCCGTTCGCAGCTAGTTCCATGGAAAATGCCACCTCCTTCTGAGTAGGATGGATGGATGGATGGATGGATGGATGGATGGATGGATCCGGCGCTAAGCCCCGAAGAGCCTGACCAGCCTACTGAGTAGGCATCGGTCATATGCTGCTACTATGACGATGCCCAAACAACCCTTCTCCAATTCTCGGAAGCTGTTGGCGGCGATTTCTTAGGATAGTCCTTTTCGCATCCATAAAGCGCATTCGCCTCCCCCAACCCTCCCGCCCCCCCTCCCCCACACCACTCCCAGCAACAACTGCCCTGAGAAAACAAATCCACACCCCTAAGCCCTGAAATCAATACCCTTCAAAGTGCAACATGCCTTCATCAACCTTTAAGGACTACCCACAAACAATCAAGAAATCTCAATTTTCAAGCTTAGGCCCAAGTCCTAGAGGCGCAGATGTCCGCCGCCTAACGTGCAAGCCAAACCCCTGAATCAAAACTCGAAACTCTGAATGGTGGATATATCTGAATCCCCAAATTCAAGATCCAGAAATGGGCCCCTGGCCATGATAAGCTCGTATCGCTCCTCGTCTGGATGACCTGCGGGCGGCTCTCGGATTTTGCATGGTTCCACTCTGATGGTTTTGGTGGTTGGGGTCAGGGTTTAGTTTAGGGTTTAGGGTTCCTGGCCTAAAGTACAGGACATGATGTCCTTGTTGGTTCTTCTCATGTAACAGGGTTTGCGGTTTCGGGTTCTAGACCCCAGGCCCCAAAGCTAGATTTCTGCTACCTGGACCTCCCAAATACCCTGCATAGTAACCTATCCTTTTGGGGCTTCAAGGCTATGACCGTGGGTATCTGGGAGGTCAACAACCCTAAACCGTTAACCTATATTCCCCCTTATGTAGATAATGGGATCCCCCTAAACCTCATATTCTATGAACTTGAGAGGGACTAAAACCCCAGAATATATACCCCATCGTAGTATAGTAGTTTCCATTTTCTCTTCCATTTGATTCTCCATTATTGCGGGGAGAATACTGAAACCCTAAACCGCTTTACCTCTAAACCCGAAACACTAGTTTCTATTTTCTTTTCCATTATCCCAATATAACCCCTATAACCTAAGCCTACCGCAACATCGGCCTGTGATGCCTTCGGGGCCCTCGCCACTGGCGGGACGCGACCAAACCTGATGGCGTCAGGAAGAAACAGG